TCCAATTATTTATGAAAATTTTCTATGGGCCATCTGAATATATTTGACTGATTATTGATTTTTCGTTTTCAAAGGGAAGTGATTTTTAGCCTCTACTGTTTTCCTCTTTAACCCCTATCTTCAATTTTAAGTGAGGATGTAATTGTAACCAAAAAAATATATATATATTCTTCTTCTTCCATAATGTTACTTCAAAGCTTTATATTTATTGTTATAAAAGATAAAAAAAACCAATCAATATCATTATCATACAATTGTTGATTAATTTGTTTATGGAATTACAACATCAAAACTCTTACAATCAAGTAATTCCTTATAAGTCCCTCCTTGACAAAACAAAAACTTTGTTTTATACCCGTTAAAAAACAAAATATTCAGTATCACAAAATTAATCAATATTGATGTTATACAATTATGAATTAATTTGTTTATGAAATGGTAATCTCAAAGCTCTCACAGTCAAGTAATCCTTTGTAAATCCCATTTTAATAGAAGAAAAACCTGGTTTTATACCTATTAAAACAATAGATCCAATATCAAAAAATCTCATTGGGCAGACAGTTAACTCTGGAGCCATGTAACCTTTCGTTCCTCGAACCTGAGAGAATTCAGAACCATAGCTGCCCCTATGAGACAACTTAGCCAGCCCAAAATCTGCAATCTTGGGCTCAAATTCACTGTTCAAAATAATATTTTCAGGCTTCACGTCATAATGAATAACCCATTCCAGGCACTCGTCGTATTCCAGGCACTCGTCGTGAAGATAAGCTAAACCCTTGGCTGTCCCCAAGGCAACTTTGAACCTTTCTTTCCATCCCAGAAAACCTGGTGAGAATATGTGCTTGTCCAGTGATTGATTTTCCACATACTCATAGACTAAGAGTCTGTGTTTGCCTTCTGAACAGTACCCCCACATTCTCACAAGGTTCACGTGATAGATTGTTCCGATTATACTCACCTCTGCCCAAAACACTTCTTCTCCTTGATACAAATCTGTTAGTCTCTTGACAGCCACCACCCTTTCATCTCCCAAAACACCCTTAAACACAGCCCCGGAACCTCCTCTACCAATCTCTTCTTTGAAAATTTTCGTTGCCTTCTTGAGTTCAGCATAACTGAATCCCTTGAACTGAGTTGAAAGTGCACGATATCCGTCTTCTAGTAAAGATGGCACACCATGTCTTCTATAAAGGAGCCACCAACCTAATAGAAGGAAGATAACTTCAATTGCACCAATAGCTAATGCAAACCAGTACATATAAATCCATCTCACTCTCTTGCCAGTAGTGTCATACATGGAAGGTGATCCCATCATAATTATAGATTCTTGACATACAGGATTGCTGCCATTGAGACTATCGGGTTCTGATGCCTCAACACTGACTGGAAACTTCAAATATATGCTGCCTGGAAATGTTGGAGAACGGTAGCCATTGAAAAGTGCACTTTTTGTGTAACAAAGCCCTTCCCCGTTCAGCCTATAGCTAAATGCTTCACACTGGCAATCATCCAAGCATAATTTCTTGCAAGATTCCATTGATGTAGCCGTACTGTAATTGAGATCAAACCCATAGAAATCTACTTTTTGAACCTCGATAAATTTCAGCTGCTGTGAGTTTGAACAAGTTCTGTTGAACTTAGGCTTACAACCTTTGTTCCAATTATCCGGTTCAGTTACCTCATAGCCTGGAGGGCATGAGCACTTGGGCTCTGGTGTAGATACACAAATCCCATTTCTACCACAAATCCCATGAACTTTACATTGTTCCATAATAGCTTGCCATGAAATCATCCATGATCCTGTCAAATTGTTGAGGCTATAAAGCCTGAGATTCCCATCATAATCCATAGTTAGCCTTCTTTTGATCCCAAAGCCCACATCAAAAGCTCTAAATTGCCACTTGTCACTTGATAAGAAACTGCCTGTTTCATCTAAAAAAGCTATTCTACTACTATTGTACGATGTTCTTCCATTTTGCCACACATTATAATCAGGATTAGGCCAATACACACTTGAAATATCGGGTCCATCATACATCAATCTCTATACATTATCATTATCAAAATAAGACATAAAATACGTCCACCACGACCACCACCTCTACGGCTCTACCATTGTTAAATTTCCCATTTCCTCCACTACCATCAAACATGTCCCCACCATTACCACCACTATCAGTTTTTATTTCATGGTTTGCCTCCAAAACTTTAACATCTATTCCTTTGCTAACATCATCTCCCTCTTTTGTCACTATAGTTGTTGCCAGACCAGATTGTGGCTCTGCAGGTGACTCTGACATATTACTCATGACAAGAAACCTCTGTTTTGTCTTCACATAGACATTTCTACTACTAAATTTTCCACAAAAAAAACTGGAAATGCCACATCCTTTACTAAGTTTCTGAATCTACCATCATAAAAAATCAAACTTTGATTCCATATCCTCCCCAATACGACCTCATTTCTCACATTCACAACATGTGATCACCCAAAACCCAATACACAACCAGCCATGTTTCTCCTACTAGATTAAATCGACAAATCCGCTAAAGATATAACTACAATCAAAATACTCAGAACATTTATTTCTCTAAGAAATAGAGCTGCTTTGAAGTTAAAGAGAAAATGAAAGACGGATGTTAAATCTACTCTAAAATGAAGTTAAAAAAAGAAGCTGCTTTGGTATTAGAAGCTGCTTTTGAGCTTCACATAGTTGTCAAGCAGTGCAGTGGCGCTAAATTAGTAAGCCCTTCATTTTATTTATGTTACGTCATGTGGTCATCCCACGTGTGAAAGATATTTTTCACGTGCTGAGACATCTATACCCTCTAGGATTCTACTAACTTGCGCACGGTGTACACGAATGACGGAAGTGGGTGCTGCACACCGTGCGTAGTTTGATAATAAACGCAGGCTTCCTTCTTGGAAGAACAGTCAGCAGGTCAGCTCAATACATTAGCAATTAGATTAGTCAAAAGGTCAACATTTGATTCTGAATTGTTCTCTAAATTTGTTTTGAAAAGAAAATTACATGCTGTATTGCTACAAAAGGCCATTAGCAGGTTGCTGGTGTCACTGTCGTAGACGTGAGTAAAGAATTAGTCTTTAAGATACCTAAAGATCAAAGTTTGATCGTTAATATTATAATAAGTAGACCACAACATTATTTTATGTTGTCTTGTGAAAACTACATGTTTTGTAGCAGAAATTTTATATTTGCAAGTTGCTGGTGGTGAGTAAAGATTTTGTTGGTTTGTTCTTTCTGATGATGAAGAACAATTTCATTAGTTAGATACAAGAAAAAATTGAATCCATTTGCTGCTTTTGAATAATCAACTGGAGAAACCATATGGTGAGCTTATACATATCAAATGATCATCAGGGATTAAAACATAGATGTTTGTATATGGTGAGCTTATAATAAGTTTTGAGTTGATTACACCCAAGAAGCAGTGTTTTCAACGATTTGTAAATGAGATTGCTGTTCTGATATATTTGCAAAACTACATTGTTGTGGTTCATGCGAAGAAGATTTTGGTGAAAGATAGTTTTTTTCTGTTATGAAATTAAGAGATTGAAGTCTACAATGGGAATTGTAAGACCATGCTTAATGAAGAAAGAATAGTAATGATCTTTGCAGCTTCATGTTGGTATTACATTTATTGATTACATATTTTTTCCCAGAGGAAACACTGGAAATCTTAAGCCTGGAATTCTAGAATTCAATCATTCCTCTTCTCATCTGGGTTTGACTCATCATATGCAGTCAAGAGCTCCACAACTTTGCTCATTGGAGGCCTCGAATGACGATCTTCTGCTGCACACAGCAGAGCAACTTCTATCATTCTATCAATCTTCTCCTCGTAGGATTCATTTTTCAGTCTGGGATCAATTACTTTCCTTAGCCCTTCTGGTGTCATGTGTTGTTTAGTCGCCCATTGTACCAAATTATTGCACTCGTCGTGAGGAGTAGCTGATTGAAAACCGGAGGCTGTCTTTCCACTCAATAGCTCCAACAGGACAACACCATAGCTGTACACATCGGCTTTTGCATCAATATGTTGGTTCATCATCCATTCTGGAGCCAAGTATCCTCTCGTGCCATGCACCTTGGAAAACCCTGTGTCATGCCGGTCTATGAACAGCTTTGACAGACCAAAGTCGGCCACTTTAGGTTCAAGATGATCATCCAACAGTATATTTTGAGGTTTCACATCACAGTGGAGTACCCACTCTAGGCACTCTTCATGTAGATATGACAAACCCCTTGCAGTTCCTACTGCAATGTTGTATCTTTGGTTCCAGTCTAATTTGCTGGCTGAATCACTGAATAAGATTTTATCCAGTGAACCATTTTCCACATACTCATAAACCACCAACTTGTGCTCACTCTCAGCACAAAATCCCCACAGTTTCACCAAATTCATGTGATTGATCTTCCCTATGATTCTCACCTCCGCCCAAAATTCAGCATCTCCTTGCAAAACACCTCCCAGTCTCTTCACGGCTATAACTCTTTCGTCTTCCAGAACTCCTTTTTAAACTGTCCCAAAGCCCCCAGTTCCTATCTCTTGCTTGAAATTCTTTGTTGCCCTTTCCAGTTCTGCATAAGTGAAACGTTTGAAGCCCAGGGCTATTACAGTGTATCCCATAGTGGCCAATTCCTCATGTATGTGCTTCCTGAAGACATACCACCATGCCAAGCCAATGCAAATTATTTCAATGACTGCGAAGGCACTAACGAAGGCAATCAAATATTTGATGTACGAGTTCTTGCTGGTTTTTCCTCCCTCAGCCTCATTACCTCCAAGAACAAGAGCTTCATTTGAACAGTTCAGATCATTTGTCCCTACCTTCCTCAGCTCCAGAGAAGAGATTACTGTTCCTCTAAGAATCTTTATATGCATATTTTGGGCTTTACTCGTTACACGAAAGCCATTGCGGAGAATACCTTTCGGATAACAGTTGCCTTGTCCATCTGTCGAATATCCAAACCCCTTCATGTGCAATCACTTAGACACCGATTCCTGCATTCTTCAAAGGAAATGCGATTACCATAGGTAACCAAGTCATTTCCATAGAAATCTGTTTTATTAAGCAGCATGAAATCCAATTTAGTTGGATCACAAGTCAGATTAAACGAAGGAGAGCAACCCTTGGACCAGTCTGAAGGATCATTTCTGTTGAAACCATCAGGGCAAATGCAAGTTGATTGCGGGCTGTAAACGCAAATACCATTTTCACCGCACAACCCATGAACATGGCAATTATAAAGGTCAACAGGGATCCATGAGATTTTCCATAGCCCGGTTGAATCATCTAAACTATACAATCTCAAAATTCCATCATAATCTAATGTTAAGCGCCTCTTTGGACCGACTCCATAATCAGTTGCTTTGAATACAAAATTATCACTTGATTCAAAATATCCAAAATCATTTAGAATTGCTTTTCTGGTGCTATTATAATTAGGTGTTCTGCCACTATCAAATACGCTCACCTTTGAACTTGGCCTGTAGACACTTGACAATAGAGGACCATTGAAGATGAGATTCAAAACATTATTATCATCGAATTTCATATTATAAACTCCCGATAAGTATGTGCCTCGACTTCTCATAGAGACCAAGGTTGGGTTCTTGGTAAATGGCTGAGATGGAAGCAGTGTGTCCGTGGGGAATTCAAAACTCTCCCAGATGATCCCCTTGGTTTGGTTGACCAGCACCAAATTTCCTGTTTCAAGAAGCCGAGCTTCGACACCTGCATTTGTTAATGTGTCAGTTGACCATACTACTGATTCATCTTCATCAGTCAAGACCAGATTCCTATTTCCATGGAGGGTTTAACTGGAATGCCTTCCATTAACTGGTTTGTCTCTATTGGCCATCCAAACCACGGTCTTGTTAACAGAGTTAGTGAACCATATTGCAAAACAATATGCATTAGTGCCAACCTCGGAAAATCCACCAGAGAATGTCCCCTTTGGTGAAGCCAGGAAATCATTCTCTTTTGCAACAGCCAAGGAGCTTCCGTGGCTTAAACTTGGCAACCCCTGTGACCATGCTTGAGCCCAGGCTACTGGTATTAATATCAAGAGAATGAACAAATCAAGAAATCTCATTGTGGGGGGTTTTGCAAAAGATTGACTCTCAAATAATCTTTTTGAAGCTTGATAAAAGACTAAAAGGTTGCTTCCTGTAGGAAAACTGATCCTGACAAAGCAAGAAGTTTCGACTTTTTCTCTGTTTTGGAAAAAATATTTCGCTGGTTAGGGAAAGTCCGAGGATCTCTGATTTCCTAGTCTGGGTGCGTAAACTCCTAGGGTTGCCTTTTCAAGGAGTGCGCTGCCCCTCTGATGCCCTTGCCGTCGGCGGGGAACGACGTTTTTAGTGATCCTTTGAATTTTTCATATGCCCAGGCGGTGTCTAAACATACAGACAAGGTTTCTAAGCATGCAGACAACACATCTTTCAAGTTACCAATGCGTTTTCCGGTGGATATTGATGGAGAGTTGGGCTTTGTGTTTTCAGAATCAGAGATGGTGAAGGTTGCGGAAGATTTGAAGTTTGCCTTGGTGATGAAGTTCATGAGATTGAGGCATTCCATAGACAAGTTACGTCTGCATGTGGTGAAAAACTGGGGTCTGATAGAGATCCCACAGATTAGTTTCATGGATGACTATCATATATTAATTCACATGAAAAATGAACGTGACTTTATCCACGGTTGGACACGGGAAGGAAGATCTGTGGAGGGGAACCCATTTCTACTATTCAAATGGACCAGGGATTTTGACCTTAAGAAGGAATCTCCTTTGGCTCCTCAATGGATTTTCTTACCAGGTTTGCCGATGCATCTGTACAGAAGGGATTGTCTTCAAATTCTAGCAACTCGGTTTGGCCATTTCCTTGGCACTGATAATGCTACATTGAATAAAACGAGAGCTACGGGTGCAAGGTTGTGTATTGAAATGAATCTTAAGGAGGAGCCTATCAAAGGGTTCCCTATTACCATGTCAGCAAATAGAAATATTTGGCAAGAAGTCAGGTATGAAAAACCAGGTTTTTACTGCACCAGGTGCTGTAGACAAGGGCATACAAAAGTGGTTTGTCGGATAGGGGAGGCTGGACGGAAGGCAGGAGAGGAAAAAAATAACAGATCATTGATCCAGTACCAACAAGTTTGGAAAGAAAAAGTCAGTGAGGAAAGGAAAACAAGTGAGAAGAAGGGGGAGACAGGGCGTGTTGCGGATAGATTAAAGACAGGAAATCTGGTGCAGTCTGACAAAGTGAGACAGAACGAGGTCCCAGGGATTGACCATATTTCATCTTTGGTAGGAGATGATTTTGCAGAGAATTCTCGAAAGGACATGCCTACGTTACAGATCTCAGAGTATAGGGATTTGGCACAAAACAACTCTGCCGTAGAGTGTGAACTGGTGGATGTAGCTAGTGTGGAGCCAGTGATTAGAGAAGAGTCAGTTTCTTTGCAGGGAAAAGAGGGGGAGCGTAGGGAGGAGAAGTTTAATGCAGGTAGTACAATGGTGAGTTTGCTGGTTCAGGAAGATGACCCGAACCAAGGTTCGTATGAGGGGGGCAACACTGATCTGATTTCCGAAGTTCGAGAAGTGGAATGTAGGACGAGGAGCGAAAGTAGAAAGGAGGTTGTCGGAAGGGAGGATAATCATGGGACACTTTCAGATCCAGAGGGTGAAGATGAACCGAGTGCACTGGCTAGACAAAAACAGTATAATTCGGAGCCGGGGAGTAAGCAAACGAGTCGTAAGATAGAATCAAAGAAAAAACATACAGTGAGACATTCCCAACGGGTTTTATCCCGCCCTTCTAAACTCAATTTATGATTAATAAAATTTTGGTTTGGAATCTGCGAGGGCTAGGTAGTTCCCGTAATCGGTTAAAAAGTTTAGTTAAGAAGTTTGGTGTGTCTATTGTGGGAATTCTGGAACCTTTTGCTGCGGATGATAAGATGAGTCGTCTAGCCTATTTGTTGGGGTTACCGAACCATTGTAGTAATGCGGTTGTTGACGGTAAGATTTGGATTTTCTGGAGTGATGATTGTGATTGGGAGGTGTTATCTATGACTAACCAATCAATTTCAGGGATTTTTCTGTTTGGGGAAGAGAACCTTTTCATATCTTTTATCTATGCTAAGTGCAGTTGTATTGAACGTAGAGATTTATGGCAAAGCTTGGAGTTGGTTGATTCTAAGGAAGATCCATGGCTGGTGGTTGGGGATTTTAATGTTTTTCGGGAAGATAGTGAAAGAGTTGGGGGTCATCCCAGGCCTATTATGTCAATGGAAGAATTTAATAATTGTATTGATCACTGTGGGTTATTGGATATGCAGGTTATGGGAAGACGCCTCTCGTGGTGTAATGGCCATGAGGGGCATACTCGTAGTTGGGCACGTCTTGATAGAGCTCTGATTAATATACATTATGCCAACAGATTTCCTTCAGCTTGCTTCGAGTACCTTAATCGGAAGACTTCGGATCATTGTCCTATGCTCATTCATGTCCAAAAGCAAGAGGTAGGCTACGGTCCTCATCCGTTTCGATTTCAAAACATGTGGGTTACCCATACAGATTTCAGGAGATGTGTTGAAGAAGTTTGGAAGGAACCTACTATTTTTGTGGGTTTACGTCGGTTGGCGGAGAAATTAAAGAAAACGAAACTTGCATTACGGGCGTGGAACAAGAAAGTGTTTGGGCAGGTTGGGCAGAATATTAAAGAATTGGAGGAGAGATTGGAGGTTTTAGACAGCCATTTACAAGGGGGTTATGATAAAGAAGTAGAATGTGATTACTTGATTACAAAACTTGAATTGGATATTTGGGAAAAACGTGAAGAACTTCGGCTTTCTCAATTGGTGAAACAGAAATGGCTTTCAGAAGGTGACCAAAACTCTAAATTTTTTCATGCAGTTGTGAATCAACAGAGGAAAAGCAATGTCATATCTCACATGCGACTTGCGAATGGTACGAGTCTGAATTCTACGGAGCAGGTGCATCAAGGAGCTTTAAATATTTCCAAGATTTTCTCTCAAATCCTTCTATGGCGGAACAGGTGGATCTGACTCCCCTTATCCAGAAGTCTGTATCTGAGGAAAATAATTTGGCTCTTGTTGTAGCCCCGACAGAGACAGAGGTTCTGGCTGCGCTGAAATCTATTCCGAAAGAGAGTTCACCTGGACCGGACGGTTTTGGTTCGGGTTTCTATCTAAGCTATTGGGATCTGATCAAGGAGGATGTACTCGATGCTGCAAAGGATTTCTTTTTGGGTACTACATTACCTAGATTTTATACGGCATCTTACTTGGTGTTGATTCTGAAGGTAGAGGAACCTAAGAGTTTTGACAAGTTTCGTCCGATCAGCCTTTGTTATGTCGCGTACAAGATTTTCTCAAAAGTGATAGTTAATAGGATGACTCCTTTTTTATCACAGTTGATTTCTCATGAACAAGGCGCTTTTATTCTCGGCCGCAGCATTTTTGAGAATATTACCCTAGCACAAGAATTGGTTCATTCTCTGAATAAGAAAACAAAGGGTGGTAACATTATGGTGAAGATTGATATGGCTAAAGCCTATGATCATGTGGACTGGAAATTCCTGTTAAATGTGCTAACATCCTTTGGGTTTTCCTCTCAGGTTTGTAATCTTGTCAGGGAATGTGTTACATGCCCCTGGTTCTCTATTATGATGAACGGGACGTCCAAAGGTTTCTTTCAGCCAGCTCGGGGTCTAAGACAAGGTGACCCACTTTCTCCATATTTATTTATTATTATGGAAGAGGTTCTGTCTAGATTACTTTGTAAGAATTTTGAAGAGGGTCGTATTAGATGTTACTCACATCCAGTGGGTGCGCCTTTGGTATCTCATCTACTCTATGCTGATGATCTCTTAGTGTTTGTGAATGGGGGGTAAATGATCTGTGCAATGACTTTTATATATTTTGGAAGTTTATGAAAAGTGGTCAAGGCAGCTTATCAATAAGGAAAAATCAGCTGTCTTTTTCTCAAAGTCCATAACGATTGCCCGGAGACGTATTCTTATGCAAACGACAAGTTTGTGGAAGGAAAGTTTCCGTTCACTTATTTGGGTGTCCCCATGGTTTCTGGTCGACTCACATCTAGGCATTTGGAACCTCTCGTGGAGAAAGTCAGGAGGAGAATTGCTGGTTGGAAATCAAAACTTCTTTCTCAAGGTGGTAGGCTTACTCTCATGAAACATGTGTTAGCATGTATCTCAACACATCTCTTGGCAGTTTTAAACGTGCCGATAAAGGTTTTTAGTAGACTTAACTCTTTGATGGCGACATTTTTCTGGGGTGATGTGAATGGGAAACAAAAAATGAAGTGGTGTGCTTGGGATAGGATATGCAAACCATACAAGGAAGGAGGTCTTGGCATCAGAAATTTTCATGAGGTGCAGCGGGCACTACACATGAAATTCGCTTGGAGATTGGTTACTGTTGATAACCTTTGGACCAAGTTCTTCCGGGCGAAATATGTGAAACACGGCCACATTTTTTTAGCTGAGACCAGAAGAAATGCTTCCCGATTCTGGAAGTCTATTATGAAGGTGTTTCCTGATGTGGCCGAAAATGTGCTTGTTAAGGTTAGAGAGGGCAATTCTTCATTTTGGTTTGATAGGTGGCTGGCAAGTGGGCCTTTAGGTGCTAGTCGTGAATCAGGGCACTCTCAGCTCAAGATCAAAGATGTTTGGATTGATGGCTCATGGGATGAGAATGTTCTGGTGGATCTTGTCGATATTAACAAAATAGAGGAAATAATGAATGGAGTGGTGGCTGGTAAGGTGGGAACGGATATTACCATTTGGAAACCAGAGGTTAAGGGAGTTTTCACGTCGGCTTCTGCATGGGAACTTATACGTGTGAAAGGAACTGAACATCTAGGCATGGGCTGGATTTGGCATCACTCCCTTCCGCGAAAAATATCTGTGTGCATGTGGAAAGCTCGGTTTAATGGGTTAGCGCTGGACGCTCGGGTGCAAATGCTTGGAATCCCATTGGCATCTCGGTGTAATTGCTGTGCTCAGGGACACATTGAAACATTAAATCATGTACTTTGTAATGGGAGCATTGCTGCGGAGGTATGGAAAAAGGCAGCCATCACGCTGGGTATTAACTATGTTCAGGGTCTTCCTTGGTGGTTGACGGTTATGCAGTGGTTTAATTCGGCAACGAAGTCGAGTCACAGAGGGGTCCTTCTCGGTCTCATTCCATCTATCATTTCCTGGCGCCTATGGAGACGTCATTGCAAAGCTCGCATGGAAAATTCAGCTGAATCAGCAGAAAGTGTCTGGTTGGCAGTGAGAGTTTGGATACGTAAAATCTCCTCTCTGTTGGTGAAACAGTGGCTGATATCTGCGAGGGATGAGGTTATTCTACGGGATCTCGAAGTGCCTTATGCGGGGAGGTCACGGAATATTCCGAAGCTGGTATATTGGAGGAAACCGGCTGAAAGGTGGATTAAACTGAATGTTGATGGCAGTTGCCGGGGCAATCTGGGCAGCTATGGGGGAGGAGGTGTCATTCGCGATGTACTAGGGAATTTTCAAGGGGCTTTCTCTTCTTATTTCGGGCAGGGAACTAACAATGAAGCTGAATTAAGAGCGTTAATTGTGGGTGTCTCACTGTGTAAAGAGCTGGGTTTTAATCAGTTGAATATCGAGAGTGATTCCACTTTGGTTGTTTCTTGGTTGAGTAGTCGCAAGTGCACGGCCTGGTATTTATGGGACTACTGGGATGAGCTTTTGACCCTGTTAAGAGGAGTTCATTTCACCATCACTCATCAATTCTGCGAAGGGAATAGTGCAGCTGACTTCCTCGCTCGACAGGGAGAAGAGGGTAATTCTATCATATTTCTGGAGTTTATGTCGTTACCTAGGGAGTTGAAAGGCATGCTTCAGTTGGACAAGGCGGGTTTGCCTCAGATTAGGCGGTGAACTTGATTTTGGGAGACTGGTTCCAGATGGTTTTTTCCTTATGATGGTTGTTTTGGTTTCGTTTTGATGTTTATGTTTTCCAGTTTGTTTTCCAGTTTGTTCCACGGTTTTCCTCAGCCAGAAGTGAGGCCTGGTAATAAAATTTTTTTAAAAAAAAAAAAAAAAAAGTATTATAATGTCTCAGACTTAATATAAAATAAAATTTATTTCCTGATTGGAAAACTATAGATTATCTAAATGACTAAATAATTTGACATTCAACAAATCGTGTGGACCACAAGGGGGCTTTATAACATTCTGACTTGCTTAATTGAAGACCAAAATGTAAAGGAAAGGATACTAGATAATATTCACCCAATATATGTGAAGACATTCTTATATATATATTTATTTTAATGTAAGATTAGGTAGATTGAGGAAAGATGACTTTGAATCGTAGTATCTAACATTATCTCCTTGTCCTGATTTGTTTCACAGTAAACACAGCTATGTCAACCGCGATACTGCTTCAGATTTGGTGGCTTTATTTTAAACATGGCTTGACTTGATAAACTGGATTAATGTAAGATCATTATTTATCAAATCATTGCCAGGAACATTTTTTTTTTCTTTTTCTCATAAATTAAACCGTTCATATATATATTTTTTTTAACTTTTCTCTGTGTCTCTGTGCATAATCAGTAGTNACAATTAAAATTTGCATATGCAAATATTAATAACTTCATATTTTCATATAACTTGTTGCAATAATATGGGTGAAGAGTCTAAGATTTTAGTGAGTTAGTAATCATAATTTATATACAAATAAGATTTTTCGTTCGTTATCCTAGTATTGGAAACGGGCTTCTGTCTATCAGGGCTTCATCCAACCTAAAACCACGAATTCATCAGCCATAAAAATGGTGTATATCAATGCATGTTTTACCCTTACATGTGTTGACCATTTTCATCTATAGCTTCATTTGATGCATTTTTTTCCACCTAAAACTAAAAATCGGTCACTTACAAAAATTTCTTTTTGGAATCTAAAACTCAAAAGTGTTTAAGTTTCCTCCAATAACTCACAACAATCTTTAAATGATATTAATGACATCAATGCTTTAAAAATTATACTCTTTCATTCTAGTATTTGGCATTAGGGATGGTATTAGAGCATCTACAAAGGACTCTTTATATGACCTAAACTCTTTATTATAAAGAGTTTATTCATAAAAACAAGAGTCCAATAGACTCTTTATCCTTAAAATATAAATTAGAGAGTGAGTTTGACTCTCTACATTTAGAGAGTCAAATTTCATTCTCTATCCAAATTTTAATTAATAAACTATAAGTTCTTATGCATTTTATTTATTAATTCTCTCTCCCATTAAGTCTTTTTCTTAAAAATAAAGAGCATCTTTATTAAATTTAAAGAGTCTATTGGATTTGAATAAAAATTTTGTTCTTTATATTTTAAATTTATTAAAGACACTCTTTATTTATATGAAAGATGTTCTTCAAAATAAAGAACATCACTGGAGATGCACTTAGAACAAATAAATACATGCATAACATGATCTCAGAATAAGATTATATTTTACATGTCATCCTAACATGAGGTAAATAACACGCTTATTTAACTTTTTTCTTAATTTTTTTCTGTTTTACATAAATTTTTTCGACTTCAAAATTTTTTAGACTTAAAGGAATTTTACTAGGGATGGCAATGTGGATAAAATTATTTTACATTCCATGAATCTGTTGTTTTATACTCTTTTTATTATTATTATTAATTACTTTGGAATTATATCATCATTATTTTGTTGTGTTTATATATATATATATAATTCTTAAACTTATATTATACAATGAGGTTATTGTTAGTCTCACATTGACTAAACACATTCAAGCCTACTGGTTTATAAGAGGGGTTTATTTTCCTATTCAAAAATGTCTTATTAAGTGATGAGTCAGACCCATCTCAAGTTATCTCATGATATCTGAGCTAGGCTCAATTAAGCTACGTGTTTGGTCAATAAGTGAGGAGTTCGAGCCATCAATAGGCATAACCTAACATATAGGCTTACTCAAGCCCATCCCCTCCAATTCAAAAAAACCTTATTAGATGAAAAGTCAGACCCACCTTAAGTTCTATCAGTTATTTATAAAGTTTCAAATATAATACTAAATATATATACATTTAAGTGAAGTTTTGATGAAGTATTTTCACTATGAAAATTAATTAATAATTTTAATTTTATTTGATAAACAAAACATATTTATTTTCGATTTTTGCTTTAGGACCCAAATATACTTGAGACAGCCCCTGCATGATTGGATCATAATTGTTACGATTGGATGTGTTAAACATATTAATTATGGCATATAAGGCCTTTTTTTTTTTTTTTTTTTTCCTTTAACCACAAATAGGACTAAAGTGAAAATGAATCAAACTTAGAAAATAAATTATGGTTGGATCTCTTTCAAATTAATTTTTATGGGATGTGTTTGGAGATATAAAAAATTGTGAATTTAGGTAAGTATATATGTTTTATCGGCAATCGTTCATGAATTAAATTCAAAATCATGAGCAATATATCTTCCAAATAGAATAAAGATTTCTTGAATTCATGAGAAAATGTTGAATACAAGACAAAACGATTTTGAAATAAACAAATACAAAATAATTTTGAAAGCCATGAAAATTGTAGTATAATAAATCTTTTTATAACTATTTATTAAAGAAGGAAAATATTCTCAATTAATCTTTTATCTAACCCCTGAAAAAAAAAAAAATTACAAAATAAAAGAAAGAAGTGAGGTTTTGAGAGAGCATAAAGTGTGACGACAGAGGTAGTTGTGTTGGCTTTAAATAAACCCTTTTAGTCGGTAGATAAAATCAACCAAACAGGTTAGGCAATTGCCTCACTTGCCTAGGGCCCTATTTAAGAATTAAGTCTCATAAAAATTTGTGAAAT